AAAATTAGGGTACAATGTTAAAATCAATTAAAATCCTAATAATTATTACGTATTTTTGACGGTCCTAAGCCCGTAAAGTAGTAAGGAAAATCTGAAATCAACTGAAGAGTATTTTAAAATAATTATTATGAATGAATGGATAAAAAGGCTGGTACCCAGAGCCATAAAACAACAGATTATTAAGAACTAGGCCACGCCCACTAGGTTTATTCCACTTGCACCTGTAGAACGTGCGGGACAAAATGGGTTTATTCCAATTTGTACTGAAAAACCAAATTCACTAAAAACTCAGTGTACTTTCTTTATGAGAGTCTCTTGTTTATCTTAAATAATAGGTACTTTTCCCTACTTTAATCTCTGTGAATATGGCAAGAATGCAAAGTAACACGGTGTATTGTTTGCTTCTACATGTGAATTAATTTTGTTCGTTATACATGAAGTGATAAGTTTATATAAAGTTGGTAAACAGGTAATCGGTCTGTATTGTGATGGATTTTGTGTATCTGAGCTTTTTGGTAGCATATGGGTTATACCCTTAGTAATAAATTCTGGGAAATCTTCTTCACCTTTTATGATTCCTGTACACTTCTCAGCAAGCACATCGTGCAGGAACGCAAGTTTTTTGTACCAAAAATTTTGCACCCAATCTATCCCTGCAGATTTCCAGTTTTTCATTTTTCTGGTAACATCCTCAATGTCTTCCCTAGTTATATCCGCAAACTCCATTTCCGCAATACCTTCCCATTTCTTCTCCTCTTCCTTTATCCATTCTGCTTTTTCGTTATGAACTTCTTGCTTCTCCCATAAATCAGCCCAGTAGTTTTTCAGATCTTCTTTGTCCGGTATCAGTGTTTGCCTATTGTTGTCCTTAGTGCTTGAAAGTTGCCTATAGAAACCTTTTTCGTTATTTACAAATAGTTTGTTATCATTCTTTCTCTTGTGAGCTTTTAAATAGCGAGCTAGCCTATGTGCTTTAAGAGCCAATTTTTGTTTAAGTGAATCTAAAACGTCTTGTGGTGTAGTGTTATTACCTTCATGCGATGAGTGAATTTTATTTTTGTCCAGGATAAGTCTAACTTCACGAACTATTTTTGTGGATCTGTTATTTTTAAAAATGTACTGAGTTAATCTTCCTATATCTACTCTTAAAGCGGCGATATCTTTTTCCAATCTTATTTGCCACGGTTGTTTCTCAGGTTTTGTGTGTCGTTTATTACTATCGGTGCATTCGTATATCCTGTATCCTAATTGTTTTCCAATTACCATAGCTGTACAGTAGATTAGTGTGTGTATATCAGACATAGTAGCATTTTCACTCAAAAACTTTTTAAGAATGTTTCTATTAAAGAGGTGAACTAGTTGGTACAATTTTTTATTTTCCCTAAGCCTTGGAAGTCTCGGTCTAGCTTCTGGATCTATTTCGGCATACAGTTCAAGAGTTTCCTTAAGTTTTTCTGTCAATTCCACTTCTAGCTTTGTTGGTATTACTTGATCAGTATTGTTTGTGTTATCTATTTCCAGTGTGTGTTGCGACTGAGAGTGTTGAGTTAATATAGGAAGTGATATTTCTGGGTGTGTATCTATTGTCTCCATGATGCTGTCATTTAAAGTTATTTCAGATTGTGTATTGTCAAGTGTAGGAAAACTATACTGTGTGTCAGAATTTTGTGTTTGAACGTTTTCGCGTGCTTTTAACTCAGCAGAAACTTCAGCTTTTATGACGTTCAGCCTATCGCTACTGATGTACTTGTTTGTTAGAATTAGTCTTCTCTGATCAGCAATCCTTTGCTCTGATAAGTGTGCCAAATGTGGGAAGGTTTTTATAAAAGCCTGATGAAGTGGTTGTCTATATGCAGTTTTATTTGTCTCTATTTCAGTTACTTTATAATATTCTCTGATGATAGCCTCATTCTGTTCATTCGTCCATCGTAAACGTGTTTGTGGTGTAGCTGTAATTGTTTGTTTATCAACATATGATGTGGAATTTCTAGGAATATTTGAGTTGTGAATGGTTGGGATTGAATAATTTTGTAATTCTGATTTGACTTGGTTGTATATCCGTTGTACAGATTCCTGTGGTATTAACTTTTTTGTTACTATTGCTCTTCTTTGATCCCCAATTCTTTGCCGCGATACGTCGTTCATTTCAGGAAACCTTTTAATAAAATGTTCATGCAGTGGTCCAAGGTACCCTCTGATGTCAGTTTCTAACTTGGTTAGTAGTAAGTAATTGCGTAGGATGAATTCATTCATATCAGGACTCCATCTCCTACGCGTTTTTTGGCTGTCGGTGGTGGGTGCAGAGCTACTGACGGAAATCGTCGTCTGCACAACATCCTCCAACTGCATGCTACCAGTTGACGAAGGTGTAGGGCTACATGAGCGTGACGGATTGTACGAAGATGACGTTGTTGTTGGACTATTGCATGTAGATAGACTCTGGTCTATCAGCGTAGGGTCGGCTGTAGTATCTTCGGGAATGACCCCAGCGAGAGCCCGCCTGTTCAGCTCCTCGCCACCGACGGTTCGCAGGCTGTGACATCCAGCGTCGGCTCCAGATGTGCCCCGGCGATAGCCCCCGGGCAGCGACATTATACGCACTCGTTTACTCCTTAGCTCCATATTGATGGGTTTGCCCTTGCCTCGTTGGTCACCCGCATGGTAAATTCATTGCGGGTGTCCGCCCCCCACGTGGTTCAGGTGGTCGAACACGGACGAAAGGTTGGACTATGGGGGGCACGAAAGGTTGGACTATGGGGGGCACGAAAGGTTGGACTATGGGGGGCCCGAAAGGTTGGACTATGGGGGGCAACGAAAGGTTGGACTATGGGGGGCACGAAAGGTTGGACTATTATTATTATTACTAAATTGTATAAATCATCCCCGCGTCATATGAATACAGCTTTACTCATGTGGCTGGTATTTAAGTATGAGAAAGTATACTTATTGTCATCTTGCGACCTCATTAAGTATCCATAATGGGACTAAAGCGTCGAATCTCACCTTAGCATGTGACCATTATGAACATCATGTTAATAAACAGCTCAGACTCCTTTAGAATAGGCACAAAATGGTGTGACTATTAAAATATAAACGACACAAGGAGTAGGTACCTAGTTGTTACGTGAACTACATACTCAATTTCATTTATAATGACACAAAACTAAATTAATTTGGTTACTGGAATATTGAATATCAATGATGTCACTTATGCGCACTCGATCAAGAAACAATTTATTAGTTTCAAAGAAACCAAATTTTTCGTTAATTTAGATCTAATTACGTTTTACTTAAGTCTTGTAATTTTTGGTTAAAATGTCAACAACCTAATTAAATACTCATAAATAACCTCTTAAAGAAAGAAAATAAATGTCTTTTATTACTTTTGGGAAGTAAACATCTAACTATTTCAATTTAACACACAGCAAAGATCCGCTCAAAGACAAGATGGCCGTCACTTGCAGTCTTTGTAGCATAGATAGCAAACGACGACGGCCGAGACATTGTCTTTGATTCAATGGTGTTATGTTAGATAATGAGCTGTATGTTAATGCATGTCTTATACTGAAGGATATTGGATAGATTCAATCATAAATGCCACTTAAATTAATTGAAAAACGTATGCTTAAAATGTGTAAAATGTTGTGTGCCTAAATTTTTAGAACATGCAAAATTATAATTATGTTTGTAAAATATTTATGTAATTAAATTGTAACCCAGAAAAATGGAATACCTTTCAAAATTTTAAAGTCTCCTCTCTGCCAGATAAAACAGAAAGGTAGGTACACAGTTGGTAACTAGGCTTGATGTATCTGTCGCAGGCAAATTGTATGATTCCGCATTTTACAAACGGCGTCGTCAGTTCACAAACGCTCGCTGCTCTATGAAATGCCGAAGGCAAAATGTAAATTGCCTGGGCACTTTATAATATGCCAAAACATTTGATAGCCAATTCAATTGCTGTTTACAAAATGCCGCGGCAAATTGAAGTATTTAGTTCTTTTTCTTACCACGCGAGGCGCTGCTAATCAAAACAAGAAAAATGGCGTCGAGTCGTGGTGTTGTGATACAGAAAACAGTGCAAATTCTACGTATTCAAAGGACTTTTCACATAAAAAGACATTGATTATACTTAGTGAATTAAAAATATTTTACGATTCATAAATAGGAGCAGTGAAAAAGCTATGGAAAAATGAAATAGTTTTTGAGGTTATCCGGCACGTAAAAAACGCTAAGGTGACAATGGAATCTGGTGCTCGGACTGGTGGTGGACTGCTGCGGAATATTATTGGTTTAAAAAAATATTGTGTTGTCTTCTAGACTTCTTCTAGGTATAATTAAAATGTAAGAATTAAAGGACTGACTATCGAAACTTATTGTATGTCATAGTTTTACCTATAGGTACGTACGTCAATAGTTTAAATTAGTTTAGTGTTGTTTTTATTACGAAAATATTTTAATTACTTTAGGAGTAGCAAGTATCTTAGGTTTGTCTTACCTGAATAGATACCTACCTGATTTCTGAAATTAAGTCTGATTTGTCCAACATGTGTTTTATGATGGTCACCCTATTGCAACAATCATAGTCGAAATTTTATCAATTGAACGAGTCGCCAATTTGCCTTCGGCATTTCATAGAACAGCGAGCGTTTGTAAACTGACGACGCCGTTTGTAAAATGCGGAATCATACAATTTGCCTGCGACATAACCACCATTTTCTCTCTTCACCAGAGTATATACGAGTAGAGTATAAGTGGCTTGAACAGAGACTCCTACCTATGATAATATTAAGATTTAAAAATGCAAGGGAATGGGTTTTTTTATATACAAGAAACTATTTTCTAGAATACTGTTAAAGGCCGCGTAAATAATAACGCTTAGCTCTTATCAAACTATCGACATCTTACATTTCTATCGACTATCAACAACACTAGCCAGTTCACTTTGAAAATTCGATTAACGCGATACACTTAGAATATTGTCCAGTGTCCCGCAGGACGGAACCCGCGACGGTCTGCATGCCACCACCGGTGGAACCCCGACCATGACTTCAGGCTGACCTGTACTTCGGTGAGTGAAGACTTTATTTTCACTACTGCCGCCCTCTGTGGTCTAGTGGTAAGAAGGTGCAAGTGGTAAACTTCAGACGCAGAGTCCCAGGTTCGATTCCCAGTGGGGGCAGATTTTTCTATTCGGTTTGGTTGGTGGCTTGTTCTAAGTCCGCCTGGCTAGCTAACATCATCTTACCTAAGTCTGTCGCCATAACAAAAATGTTAACAGCATTGTTGTGTTTCGGCTGTTAGAGGTAAGATAGCCAGTTCCTCCGTGGTTGAGGATTCCGGGTGAAGCTCGCTTTCACATTCGGCCTGATCATCACTTACCATCAGGTGAGATACAGGCTAAGAGCTTCCTTGTTGTGGATAAAAAAAACTCTATCTACAGGGTGTACCAAAAAGACCGTGCCAAACACTAGGAGAAGATAGACTGGATGATCATCTAGACAAAATTAAATACCACAGCAGGCTACAATGTTTAATACCTACGTACCTAAGCTGCCGTGGTGCCTTGGGTTAGTGGTTAAAGTAGTCTATTCGACCTGGAAGTCCTGAATTTTATTCTGATACCTCTCTGACCATTATTTAAGGATGACCTGTAAAACCTGTAATTAATAAGCTATTGATTACGACAGTGGGTTACAATGTTTAATAAGTGAATTTCCGTATTGCCTTGGCTAGTGGTTAAAGTTGCACGCCCAGTCTGGAAGTTCCGGATTCAATTCCGCCTGACATTGAAGTTCCAGATTCGATTTGCAGACATGCATGTCACAAGGTGTAACCTGACTTTTAGTGGATAATAATAACGGACTAGAACCTACATTTAGTATTTAGGTAATTAGTCCCAGGTGGTCGACATCATTAATTAGTTCCATTGTAGTTTACAAAATCGATTTTCAAATACCTACTAAGTAAGTGTGTCATCATCATCATCATTTCAGCCACAGGACGTCCACTGCTGAACATAGGCCTCCCCCAATGACTTCCACATCGCACGGTTGGTAGCGGCCTGCATCCAGCGCCTTCCCGCTACCTTTATCAGGTCGTCGGGCCACCTTGTGGGTGGACGTCCCACGCTGCGTTTTCCGGTACGTGGCCTCCATTCTAGAACCTTGCTGCCCCATCGGTCGTCAGTTCTGCGTACTATGTGCCCTGCCCACTGCCACTTCAGCTTGCTGATCCGTCGGGGTATGTCAGCGACTTTAGTTCGTTTACGGATCTCCTCATTTCTGATTCGATCTCGTAAAGAAACACCGAGCATGGCCCTCAGTAAGTGTGTACTATTACTTATTTAAGTAATAGTACTATTACTTAAATAAGTACTCAATACTACTCATGTTTAGCGCGGCTTATTAGACGACACAGGACCGCCTGACCGTTTGCTCTGCTCATCTACATACTACAACGTCAGAGCGGTGTCTACGGATTCAAACTTCCACTTGGGGAAAATGTAGTGTTGCACAAACAAATAAACAAGGTACCAATGGACGTAAAGTATAATACGCACAGTATTTTACATAATAAAATTTCATCATCATCATCACCATTAGGGGTCGCAAACCGGGATACCGAATTTCGAAAATACCGGAATACCGGGCCAAATTTAGGTCTAATTAATACCGGTATTCATTTCACAAAAACCGGGATTTTCGGTATTTTCGGTTTTAGTAAAATAAATAAAAAACAAATACAAATAGAAAAATTTACGCTCCGTTTAATTCAAAATACGCGCGCGCGAGTTCGTTTTGAGTTGATTGAGTGATAGTCGACGTAAACTCCGCCGCCAACGTCCTGACACCTCTCATCGAAAACATCTGGATGGAAGAGGAACTACCAGACGACTGGAATAAGGGGCTTTTAATTACTGTGCCAAAGAAAGGGTACCTAAGCCAGTGTAGCAATTGGAAAGGTATCACTTTGCTCTTCTTGGGTGGAAGAATCATGTGTCGTGCATATCAAAACCAACGGCGTGGAATAGAGTGCGGTATAATCGGAGTCTTAGAAGACTTAGATTATGCTGATGACCTCTGTTTGCTGAGCCACACGCATCACGCAAGTGAAACTGGATTGGCCACACTCTCCGAAGAGATCCCGATCACATCCCCAAGCAGGCTCTGGATTGGAACCCCCAAGGAAAACGCAAACGCGGTCGCCCCAAGCAAACTTGGCGGCGCACTGTGGCAGACGAGGCGGAGAAGATCGGCAAGACTTGGAGTGAGATCAAACGCGAAGCTCAAGACCGAACGCGACGGAGGACTGTTGTGGACGCCCTCTGCCCGTTGTAGGGGACATAGGACCTTAAGTCAAGTAAGTCAAGAGTGATAAAATTTTAGATACTTTACTGTTTCTACGATCTCATTACAAGGCCTAAAAATTTAATTTAGATTTAATAATATTTAGATTACCTCTTTATAACTCAATTTGATTTGGACTGAATTTTGTTTTATTTAGAAGATAAATTAATTTAGGTTAGGTACCTACTTACTATACCTCCGCAAACTGACTTTATTATACTAAATTTGCTAAATTAAGCTCAATCTCGGAAATATCGAAAATACCGGATTATCGGTATTCGTCTGGAGCCAATACCGAAAATACCGGTTTTGCTGAAATGATTCGGTATTGCGACCCCTAATCACCATCAGGTCGTTTAGTCTCCACTGCAGGAACAAATCCTTTTCCCATACCGGCAAGATTTGATAGATAGTTTAACTGGTGTTAAGAAAAAATAATTTAGCAATATCCGGGTTTCGTCCGACACATTATTTTATGCATGTCAATGGCATGATATACCCTACTTACTGTCAAACCCATAACAAATATGCCTCCAAATTGCACTGACAGCCTTTTTCAATTTATATGACAAAGACCCTCACCATGGTTAGCTTTGTCCAAAACATTATCTATACGTATAAAGAGAAAAGTAAATAAAAAGAATAGAAAGGAAATTACATAGTCAATTTGTATGATTAATTAGGCTAAAATTCTTTTTTTTTACCATAACGAGAAAGCTCTTAACGTCTCAAGTAGGTATCTCACACGATGGAAAATTACGATCAGGCCGAATTTGAAACCGAGTTTCACCTGGAATCCTCAACCATAGAGGAACTGGCTATCTTACCTCCAAATGCTCAACCCACAGCTCTCTCCGAATGTGGTAAATTCTCGGGATAATTTTATGAATAAAAAGTTATATAAATTGTTATTGACAACTTTCAGTGGTCAAAGAGATGTAAGATAGAGCATGAACATGCAAAATGCTTTTCGCAGCGAATTTTTAAAGTATAACTCGTATATAAACAGACTCTTTAAATTTTATTTTAAACAACAAAGTATAAGTCTTACTCTTTAGCATTATTCTTATGACCATGGATGACCATGGATAAATACGAATAACACTCCCTCCCACACAGGGTCAGACAGTTTTTGACCATCGCGGTGCAACATCAACATACAAAAGGCAATTTGTACCTATAGACAACAACACATCAAACTAAATTGCGGCATCTTATAATAAGTGCTATTTCCCTACAAAAATTTAGGTGTCCTACCTATCTATATTATGATGTCTACATGACGTGACAAACAAAAGGTGTTAATTCCCATTTTTGGCGTACAACTAAACAACAAACATTACTCAATCGCATTCTACTACACCCGTGTTGCCCGTTTACACAACCGATGTCACGTCCAGGGTTCTATTACTGTTCGTGTGGGGTGCGGTGACAATAAAATCAATGAAAATACACTCGTTGACAGTTTGTTTTGATGTTAGTAACGTTTAGACCGGGAAAAACAAGCGCGTGCATCGTGGAACTGAAAACTGAAACAAAAACTTTTCTTTACTTTAGAATTTCTTCAGTATACTTACAATCAACATCGTGGCCAAATTATTTAGGCGTACCTACTAGTTACAATTGTGTATAATAATTACCTATCTAAGTATCGTCGTCCTGCCTATTAAAGTTAAATTAGATCATCATCATCATCATCTCAGCCATAGGACGTCCGCTGCTGAACATAGGCCTCCCCCAATGCTTTCCATGTTGCCCGGTCCCCCAATGCTGTCCATGACGTCCACTGCTGAACCTCACCTAATGATTTCCACATCGTTCGGTTGGTAGCGGCCTGCATCCAGCGCCTTCCTGCTACCTTTATGAGGTCGTTGGTCCACCTTGTGGGTGGCAACCCACGCTGCGTTTTCCGGTACGTGGCCTCCACTCCAGAACCTTACTGCCCCATCGGCCGTCATCTTGGCGTAATGTGTCCTGCCCATTGCCACTTCAGCTTGCTAATCCGTCGAGCTTTGTCAGCGACTTAAGTTCGTTTACGGATCTCCTCATTTCTGAAATTAGATGTCACAATGTTATTCCGTCCTCACATACAATTAGTTAAACTATTGATAAGGACTTGTTTTACTATTGAAACGTCCAGATGTTTTGGATCTAGGATTAACTGCGGACTTCTTTGTAAATGAAAGTGCACATTCAACGTTTACAATGTATGTTTGTTATAAATAATCTAGAAGCGACATCGAGACAAAAATATATAATGTTACTTGCCTAGATAAAGGAGACTAAAGACTGTTAATCCAAAAACTGGAGTTTAGGTAGGTAAATAAGCAGAATCAATATCGTACATCGTACGAGTACATCTTAAAAAATCTTACTTATGTAACAATGTACTATAAATCAAACAAGAACGGTCATCCTAATCTGACATAAGAAAAACGTTACTTGGACAAAACTGTACGACAATTTCAAAATCTGGGTCGGTTTTAATGCCTCTAAAATCTGTGATGCTAGCTCATCTAGCAGTCTCTACGTCCTTGTACCCCGATACTTATAAACCATTGAGGTTCTTCTGTGGTTTTTAAGGATAAAACTGTATGGTTTCGTTAAAATCTAGGTCAATTTTAATGCTAGCTCATCCAGCAGTCTCTACGTCCTTGAACCCCGATAGACTCGGCACTGATTTAGATATCTTTGATCCAGGTGTTTATCCCGGCACAGGCAT